TCTTGAAATTGATAAAACTCTGGAGCTGCTCCAGAGAGGGGTTTTGTCTGCTGAATTCAGCCTGTGTTACCTTATTTTAGGAACTGTGGCTAATTGCTGAATCCTCCACACCCCTATTTTCAGCTGCTATTTTGCCATGTATGTTTATATTATTTATGTTTATTCAGGCATGTAAAGAATTCATACAAAAGAAGGAAACAGAGGTTAGTAATTCACAKCAACACAAATTTTCGGTTTTCAAATTTGGCATCGTAATTACACCATGCACATGCTCATCTGACTTTCATGCTTCAGTATCCATAGAGCTGACTCAACACAGAAAATGAAGATTCTTGTTGACAAAAACTGCTGGTGACTTGACAGGGATATATTTTTCATCTAGATCAAATGGTAGTTTTGCTGGGGAAAAGAAGAAAGAATACTCTGTATGCATACTAATAAATAACCTGTAGTGATTTTCAGAGATTCTGTTGCTTAGGTCTGTGAAAATAGCAGAAAGAATTTTTTTTTGTTGCCATACTTTTATTCTTGTAAAATATCCGTTATTTTCTGGAAGGATTTCAAGAGAACAGAAAAATATTCTTTAACTGAAAGAAAACTATGTTGCCACTATGAAGCTAGAAGGTGCAAGGTGCAAGACAATGAAGTGCTAAACAAAATCCTGAAGACCAGAAGATTTTGGAGGGGACTTCAGTCTGTTAATCTTCGTGTAAGTTACTGAAGTGTTCTGTACTCTCGTGAATCCCACAGGACCTTTGTGCAAGCCATGAAATCTTAGCATATTATGCAACAAAGCACTATAGGTTTTCACTGGGAGTGAAACAATGRGAGAATTGCCAGATTGGAATATTTTAAAAGTTACCTTTTATSTAGTATTCCTCAAAAAGCTAACTGCTGTCTAACACACAGACCTGGTGCTTCACTCCAGATGTGAGAGGGTGTTGCTACCTCTTCTGCCTAACAGAAGGAGACATGATGGTCCCAGATGCAACAGCCAGGGAACTGAGCATGCACCACAAAGCCTGCAACTGTGACCTGGTCATCCTTTTCMAAGGGGAGAAGCCCCCAGACACACAGAAAGGCCTGCTGGTCTTTGGAATTTCAAACAGATCAAGTGGAACCCAGTGGCATCCCCAAACCTGTTTTTTTTCCTTCACTGTCTTGTAATGGTGCTTGGTAAATTCTGCTTTTTTTTGTTGTCGTATTAAAAAAAAAAAGCCAATGGAAAAATCTTATTTTATCAGCTTTCTCCCGTAATCTTTTCATGATAACCACTGCATCAGAAGGGTCCTCAATAAGGTGAGTTTTGCTCAGATTAAAGAAGGATTTGGCTCCAAGCTTGATCTACAATAATTAAAGGAAAAACAAGTTGGACAGGATGCTGAAGAGAAAATTGAGGCCTGGTAATACGTGCAAACAGGGAGAAGGTGTTGTTGTTGTTGTTGTTGTTGATCTTAGCGCTTTGTTTTCCAGTAGCAGAAGCTGTTATGTTCCAAATAGGAACTAACAGTAATTATTGTATGGACTAGATGGATATCTTACTTTTGTTGAAGTAATTTTTTTTTTCTCTCATAGAATGGAAAATCTTTTCGGAAAAAAATTTGCAACCTGTTTCCCCCTTTCCTCTCACATATATGAAGCATCCTGTATGGAATGCTGCTTGGTGTCCGGGATGCTTGGTTGCTCCACCTGTTTTGAAGGTAGGTACAGTAGCACACTCCAAATGTAAAACTGGCTGGTCTCAGGCAAGCAGAAGTGAAAAACCAGCACTGATGTGCAAGTAACCCACATTAACTTTTAAACTAAAAGGCTGCACTGCTTTTCCCTCCAGTCCCTGAGGGGCAGTGCTCTTACAGGGTAACAAGCCAACCTACATTCATGCTTGCTCTGTTGGACCATCAGGAAGCAGCTGAAATGGACTGGTGAATCCAGCTTTTGAAGGCTGTTGATCCCTTGGCCACGCGCTGGAACACCATACTTGAAAAAACAAACAAAATTCAAAGATGGGGTTCAGGAGAGCTGGGCTGCTCTCGGTATTTTTGTGCAAACTGTTTATTACCGGGCCACATCTACTGAGCTATTTTGCATAATAAACCTCTGAAAATCTAACCCAACTCCACTACTGTAGGAGGATTAGACATGGTAATACTTCTCTTCAGCCACTTCTGAGGATTAGCTTCAAAAATGAAATTAAAATGTAGCAAACACAAATAGTTCCACATTAAGTTGCAACACCCATATTCACTAACCATCATCTGCACCTCTTGCATTTTATATTACCATATGAGGAAGCTATGCAAAAGAATATTCCTGCTGCATGTGGTAAAGCTCTCTGTATGGGCACATCAATGTATTCAGGTTTTGAGGCCTAAGTACTCCTAGTGAAGTAAAAAATCTATTTGGTTTTATTTATTTCCAAAAACTGAGGAGAAAATACATTGTTTTTACGTCACAGTTTAAGGAAAGGAGATGAGAGTGAGAAGTRTAATGTTCTCCAAGCAGGACTGTGTGCTGTGACTTGCAGAACTGGCTACAGAACYGTAGCTCTATGTGTTGTTTTTCATTCCTACCTAAGCCATAATTTTTTATTATTTTTCTCAAGTGCTTTTAAAGGTCAGCATATAAATTGGCAGATTTGTTTTTCAAAAATGACCAGCAAGTGTAATAAAGTGTTTGCCTAAACAAGTATACTAAACTAAACTTTGCAAACCTGTTTCTGAGCAATGGCTGTAAACTGGAGCTATCCAATAAATTTTAAATTCTCTTTGGGGTCAAATGCTAATAGAGATATTGAATATAACATGTAAGAAAACTTGATTAACCAGATTAACAATTCATGTTGTCTTAAATTAGCTSGGAAAACTACACATACTGTCAACAGTATGTTTGTGCTGTTCTTAATTTCCTTCATTATATAGAAAAATGTGAATCACAAGTCACATCACAAATGTTAATATGAAGTCATATTAGAGGTCATTAATCTCAATAATTACAAAATGCAGAACTGGAATACTGCCAAGTATCTAAATCTCCTGAGATGACAAACAACAATGAAGCTCAGAAAGTTTGTGAGCAATTTACAAGGCAGAGGAAGATGTCTGTGGTAGAAAGATAGACACGCTGGTGATTCGGAGCAGTTTAACAGCATCTGTAATCCAAAGCAGGAACAGCAAGGTGTTCTTCAGCAATATTGACTAAGGTGATAAGCATGAAAATCAAATAGTTTGGAATTACACTTCCTGAACATGCTGTTCAGTACAATTGAAAGAACAAGCAGAAAACGAACACTGCTTAAGGAAGTTGCTAGGATTGGTTTAGGTCATCACAGAAAGATAACTGGACTTTACAAGTACAAGGCATTGTTTTCTCTTGCCTGTAAATATCAACGTTAAAAAACTATGGCAGTCATACTACAGTGCTATTTTTTGAAATAATTTTAAAATCCCATTGCTAATTCACTGCTGCTTAYTGTCAAACTTCATACTGAAAATGTTTTTACACAGGAAGCTTTCCTGAACATTGTGCCTTCTCCAGACCAATACGAATTAGTATCCTAGAGAGCAAGACAGCTGACACCAGGGCACTATAACAAATGCAAACKGAGTCCAGTGCAATGAATTTGGCTAATTATGTGGACATCCCCACCCTGGACAGCAAATACCATGTTTGTCACTCACTATATCCCATCTTACAGCAGAAGGACAGTCAGACAATCTTTCTCTTCTTGTTTCACAGAAAAGGAGTTCTTCCCCATGCAGGGAACTATGCATAAACCTATGCAATTTATTACTGTGAGGAAAAAGCACCTGGCTGAGAGTGATCTGTTGACCCATGCTACACAAAATAAAACTCCTACAAGGAAGTGGAAGTGTCACGGATGGTATCACTATAAATGAAATAATTATTGCTAACCATTCTTTTCAACTACCTAAAAAGGACACGCGTGTCAGTCTCTTTTACACAGCCTGCTGTGAGGGGCCTAGAGAAAATCGCCTTAGGGTGAGAGGGTAGCTTCAAATTAGAAGTAATTTTTTTCACTGCTCAGGTGGTCAGACATTGGAATAGGTTGCCCAGGAAAGTGGTAGGAGATGCTGAAGAGGCGCCTGGAACTGGCATGGGTGATATGGTTTAGGGGTTACAGGAGCGCCACGTTGATAGTTGGACTTCATGATTTTAAAGGTCTCCTTCCAACCTTGATGATTAAATTATTCTTTGATGCCCTTGTCAGTACAAGGGGCAGACGTCCCTCCCCGTCACTGTATCTTCCCTTTGTAGATGTTTTTTCCCCTGTGCTGAGAAACTTATTTTGGTATCCTTGTGCGTGCCGATGTGCTGCTAAAACGAAGCGTTCCGACCCGTTACCCTCACACCAGGCCTGCGCTCTTCCTGGGCACAGCGGACCTTTGGATTCGTCACTCGCAGAGCGGCGAACGCTGCAAACCCCAGCGCTCTGGGGCTCCCGCCTTGCTCCGTGCCCGGAGAACGCTGCTCCTCGCCATGTGCCAGGACGCCCRAGCCCCGCTCCTCCACTCGGGCTCCCGGTGGGGCTCGGGCCCCGCAGAGCCGGCGGGCGGTGACCCCTCCGCAGCGCTGACACACAGCTGACGCGCGGAGCAACACCCGCCRCCGCGTCAGCGGGCGGACCTAGATCCGGCCGCTGCCGCCATTTCGCGGGGAGGCGGGCGGGGCGGGACCCGCTGTCAGCGGAGCGCACCCGCCGCCCAGACCCGGACGCCGCCGAGCTCCGGGGRCCGCCGCGACCCCGAGGAGCCACTGGCAAGAGGAGCCGCACGGCAGCCCCGAGGCGGCRGCGCCCGCGGGCAGCCCCAGAACCTTCCTTGCCCTGCCCCGCCCGTTCGCCCTTGGCCCCGCCTCTCGCCCCTCGGCTCCGCCTCCAGGAGCCGTTGGCGGCGGCGTGCCCGGCCCGGCCCCGCCTCCCACCCTCCCGCGGCGTCCGGGCCTGGCCAGCGGCGGCGGCGGCAGCGCGGGGCTCTCTCGCCCTTCATCTCTCGCTCTCCCCCGGGCGGGCGGCGCCTCTCGGCYCTACCCGCACTTCGCACCCCCCTCCCGGCCGTGACGGGCGGCGGCGGGCGGAGCGCTCCCCCGGCAGCCTCACGGCCCCGCTGCCCGTAGGCAGGCAGGACTCCGGCCGGCCGGCCGGTCGGGCGCCCCCTCGGCTGTTTCCGGAGGAAGGAGAAGAGCGGCTGCCCCCTCCCCCCTCTCCGCCTTCCTCCCCGTTCTCCTCCTCCTCCTCCTCCACCTCCTCCTCCTCCTCCCTCCCTGCCCCCCGAGCGGAGCGCGGAGTCACCGCGGCGCGTAGACGGGCCCGGCACTCGCACACACACAATGGCGCTGAAACGCATCAACAAGGTGAGTGAGCTCCGCGGCTCCTCCTCCTCCGCTGTCCCCCCCTCCCCCTTCACCGCTTCGCCCTTCATTTTATTGTTATTTTTTGGGTGTTTTTTCTTCCCCTACCCCCATCGGCCTCCCACCCCCCCCCGCCCCTAGAGGCGACGGGCGCGGGGGGGGAGGCGGAGGCTGGAGAGGCCGGGAAGCGGCGGCTCCTTCCGGCGGGGCCGCGGCCCGCYTTGAGCGGCGAGGCCGCTCTCTTCGGGCCTGAGCTTCGTCCTGGCCTCTCTTGAGGGTGGGGGCCGGGTGGTTGAGGAGAAGCAGGTCCCCGGGCCGCTCGKATGTCAGCGTGGGCCGGTGTGGCTGCCGCTGCCCTTCCGCCGCCGGCCGGCCCGAATGGCGCCGGCCCGTGTGTGCCGGGGGGTTTCGGCGCGATGGCGGCGCTGCCCGGGGCAGCAGCGGGGCCCCTCGGCCGGATTCTCCCCTCTGCTTGCAACTTCTCTCCCGCATTGTAAGATGGCGGCGGGTCCGCCTGGCCCGGGCCCTTTCCGGGATCCCTCGCGTTCCGCAGTAACGCGGCACGGACACACGGAGCAGCAGCCGCGGTGCCGCCTTSGCCCCGCTGTCGCTCCTCTCCGCCGCCCCGGGGCCCTCTGGGTTCCCGGGGATCCATCGCCCGTCCGGGAATCTCTTCGCCCCGCGCCCGGCGGGAGCGAGCTGAGCGCCGCCGCCTYCCCCCCGTTGCACAATCGGAGCCGGGTGGAGCAACTTCGTGGCGGCTAACTCGGAAAAAATGCCGAGGTGATGAAAGTTTGTTGGTTTGGTTTTGGTTTTGTTGTTTTTTTTTTT